ACCTACGAAAGGATTCCCTGTGCCGTGTCGTCGTTATAGAGTAAATTAAGAAGGCTACTACTCTGTAACACTATATTTTAACCTGGGTGAATAGTTTTATTCATTTACAATGCAAGTTAGTTTGCTTCGAAATTACGAAAGAAATTGTAATATGTTTAATGATTATCTATCTGTTTTTATTGAAAGTGTATCACATAGATAAAAACTATTTTATGATTGGTCAACTACCTCGTGTATTTCCGAAAAATACAAAAGTCCTCCCTGCTAAAATTAAGCCCCTGTAATTAAAATATATACAAAGTAAAATTATATACGCGCACGCGTATTCAATTTACTGGTTCTAAGCCACAATAGGGTGCAACCAGATTTCCAATTTATGCTCGACTGTCACTATATCACAACTTTATTTACTTTCTTTCTTTTATTTTGAAATTTGAACTAACGTCATGTCTGAGCAGCAATCGCAAGCTGGGACTCTTCGTCTCCGGTAATGAACTCTTCGTTCGACAGCTGGGACTCTTCATCTTACAAGGATGCCTTATGGCAATGTGACGTTAGTGCAAGCTGGACTCTTTGTCTACAGCTTGCGGCAAGTTGGACTCTTTGTCTACAGCTTGCAGAAGCTGGACTCTTCATCTACAGCTTCGTCCTAATTAAATCTTTCTGATATATACATGCCTTATAGCAATGTGATGTTAGTGCAAGTTGGACTCTTTGTCTATAGCTTCTTTCTAATTAAATCTTTCCAATATATACATACAATATTTTCGCCTATTTATATCATTATTTTCACTCCCACCCATAATTATGTAAAAGATTAAGTTCTATAAAGAACTATTCCGTAATGAATTAATTTCGAACCTATAGTACCAGAAAATAAATAAGTATATTTCCATAATTTTTGATAAAAATAAACAATATACTAATAATTCATTCCATTTCACTCAATTTAGAGGTGGGGATAATATAATAGAATAAACAACTGTAAATTTTTATTTAACTCTAATAAAAGTTAAATTTTATTGATATTTGTTTTATACTTAAAATTTTTATTTGTTTTTTAATTTTGAAATATAAAATTAATTGAATAATAAAATAAAATTCATAAATCTTTGTCTATTGCTGTTTTGATATTTTTTTAAGTCTATTACTAAAGTAATATTGTCTAAAATTTGATTATTGTTATTTCATATAGATAATTGTTTAGCCTGTTCTTGTATTCAATAATCTATTATAAATAGGCTATATTTTGTATTATCTATATTATATATTTTCAATTAATCTTTTTCAAGCATGTTTCAACATTTTTTTCAATATGAATTTGATAGTAGCAGTAATAATGATGAAAATAGTAATAATCAATTTTTTTTTTTTTTTAACAGTAACTGCTTTATTACATCTGAATAGTTAAGTATTTACAAAGTAGTATAGTTACAATAATCTAGTATATATATTTTTATATATCCTGAGTCCCTCTCTCCGTGGTGTTATAGTTCTCAGACTACTGTATACTAATCCTCAATTCGTGTGTAAAGCTTCACTTGGCTACTCTATGGTACCCAAATATAACTGTCTAGCCACAGATTTACCTCCCTTTGGCCTCTAACTTACTAGGAGGTTTCTCTCCAAATCAACAATAGGCCATGCTTACCTATTTTAATTCATATATATCCCACTATATATATTACTGTATAATATTCACCAGTTATAATTCACCCCTCATCACTTGTTACATTATTCCTAATTCATACTTGTATAACTTCCAAATTGGTGTCCTAGAAGTGGGTGCTCTTCTTGCTTCCAGTTTGGTGTCTCTTGAGATATTACTTCAGAGTCCTAATCTGTATCTCAAGCCTGGTGCTGCTGCTATCCGAAGACCCATATTTTAAGCCACCTGCTACCATCATTAGGAGAGCTGTTCGCATAGTTCCAGATATTTATGTCATACATCACTTAATTAGGCTACCACCCCTTTTATAGTACTCCCTCTTGGTATGATAATATAGAAGTCTAGATCCTTAGGACAGGAGTTAAGAACCTCATTTAATTACTGCCACAAAGCAGTAACCTGAGACCCACACTTCTGCTATGTTTTGTCATAAACTCCCATATAGGTTGCATGACTATACTCACTAGCCTCTTTGGTGTTTGTACTACTAGAGTGCTTGTTTTCATACTTTTCAGGATTTCTTTTAACTAGTTTTTTTTGTTTCTTTATTGCGCCAAAGGTGTTCTATATTTGGTAAAGTCATTCTTTTACTACAGCCTTTTACTATGTTCATCACTTCTCTTACCACTTCTGGATATATTACATATAGCCATCCTCCCAATCAAGATCCCAATGCCACCTTAGAGTTGTTGGTGCTACCTTGCCAATCATAAATTCACATGTACAGCCTTCTGCAGTATTACCTTTTGTAACCTATATTACACACAATACCCGATCTTCTCCATGGCTCAGAACTCCTTCCAAGAATTCTTTATCGGCCAAATATGTACTTCATATGGTCTTACTAACACAGGGTTCCGCATTTAAAAGCCCTTATAGGTTACAGAGATAATTAATTCAATTAATTACCACTAGTTATAATTGAACCATTAATCTTATTTGTGGAAGGTTAGGCACCTAGACTACTAGGCTATAGAACCCTAACCCCAATAATAATAATAATAATAATAATTATTATTATTATAATAATAATCATCATACAAGCTAGAAACAATACATATGATGGAGGAAAAGGCAGACGGCACTCCGAACCATAGCTAAATTTTGATAGAACAAAAGTTTTGTCAACAAACTGCAAAGTCTTTCTTTAGGATCCAGAGATACAACAAGTTATATATTTTTCTTACATCAGGAAGTTTAAAAAGTATTTAAAAAGTATTAACTAATGCTAGTTATTATTTAACACTAAAAGAAGTAGAGAAACGAACCCTATACAGACTAACAGCATTAATAAACAACTTAAAAATGTATTAAACAACACATTTTATTAATTAATACCATTTAAAAACACGTATTACTATGTTAAACAACTTATTTTATTAGATAATGCCGTTTTAAAATATGTATTATTATGTTAAACAAAATATTATTTATTATAATATGTATTTTTTAATACATTAAGCTATACATAGCAAAATCTAGAACTAATACTAAATATATACATATTTCAAATCAAATTACTTAAATTGTTTTTGCAATTTAATAACAAATATAATAAGCATATGAAATACTTGGGGCTTATTCTTCTTCATAATTACCATTACTATCATAATCACTTTCATTATCATTAGCACTATTTGAAGATAATTCGTTATAATTTTCTTGAATTATATTTAAAGATTCTGCTTCTGATAGTACAAGAAAACTTACAGGACCTTTTTGCAAACCAGTATTCTAAAAAAAAATAAATAAATAAAATAAAATGTGTTCAAAAAAATTAATAAAATTATTAATAAACAGTTTATATACATTCTCATTATTTGATAGCTTCTGAATTCACATATCAACATAATCTGTATCGATCTTAGGAGAAACATAATCTTCATTAAATATAGTTTCTAAAACAGCTTGTGTCTAAACCGCATTAGCATTAGTACGTTCATCATCAGAAACAAAATCATACTTTATGATTAAAGACAGAAATGTCTCAGAATTTGGATTATCTGGATCACAAGGGTTGTATAAGTCATTGTACGCTTTTTTAGAATTTTTTTTCCATTCTAACATTTGTGCTTTAGAGTAGAGGCCTGCAAATTCCTAATTTTAAGGCCTGGGCCCGGCCTGCAATTAGGGTTACAAATTCTTTGCCAGCCCGGGCCCGCCACAGTTAAAAATTTTTTGTCAAGCACGGCCTGTTTTAGCCCGCCCGCAAATTTTTAATATAAATTTTTTTTTAAAATTTCAGCCCAGCCCAGCTCGCAATTATAAAAATTTTTTTTAGGCCCGCTCAGGCCCGCACACCAGGCCGGGCTTTGGGACCTAATGCAGGCCTCTACTTTAGAGTCTTTTTCGCTAAACAGTTTTATTCGATTAATATCAAAGGTGCTCCATAAACCTTCTTTTACATGACAAATATAATATCCTTTTTTAAGCTGAATTGCCACAAGCATCTGTATAAATTAATTAAATAAATAAAATAAATATTTAGTAAAAGAGTAGAAAAGGGAAAAGGGTAAAAAAGAAAAAAAAGAACAAAAAATAAAAAAATAAAAAAAGAATAGAAAAAAAAAAACAAAAAAAAAAGAATAAATGAAAAAATAAAAATAAAAATAAAAATAAAAATAAAATAAAAGAATAGGAAGAAGGAGAAAAAGAAAAAAAGTGAGAAAAAAAAACAAAAAAAAAAAAAAAATAGTAAAAAATTCGCAAGAATAAACTTGCAATTCTAATAAATAAAATTTGTACTTCAGAATAAAGTTTTTCACTCCAAAATTTGTTAAATGACACCCCTTTGTCTTTTAATTTTTGTAATTTTTCTAAACATTCTTTATCTTTTTTCAACAATACCTTAAGCCGATCCTTTATTTGTTTGTCACTAATTTGCTCATAATTATGGAATAAATCACTTGCTAATTTTTGAGCTGTGTTCTATATATAATATGATATACAGTATAATATATAGTAATATGCATAGTAATACGTATAAATAAATATATAACAAACTATTATTATAAATAAATATGTATCAGTATATATACTTGAAAACATATATTCTCTGTATTTTTCAAAGACTTTTTTTGTTGCCTTTTTTTGGTTCTAATTCGTCGGTTTTATTGAATTTTTTTGAAACCTCTTCAAGCTGTTTTTGTTGTTCTCTAATCAAATATTCAAGCTTGGTATAGTGTTTGGAAAGCTGATCAAGTTTTGCAAAGTTATCTTGCATGACACTTAGAACCTTGTTCATAATACATAAATCGATAGTAGTTTAAGCTATTAAATAAAAGTAAAATAATAGTATTATAGAACGAATTTATTACTTTATTATTTATTATTTTATTATTCATTGATTATTATTTTAGAATATTACTATTATTATTATCTTGTATTATTATTAACATGTTGCTCAGTCACTTAGTCGCCTAGTCGCTTAGTCGCTTAACTATATAGTCGCTTAGTCGCTTAGTCGCTCAGTTGCTTAGCTCACAGATATATAAACCCACTAATTTCCCCAAGTTGGAAAAAGCAACAGACACCCCTCTTCCCTTTATTCTTGTAAACAATATTTAGGATTC